GCCTGGCCTGCACCCTTTCGCCATCTGGGAGCCCTCAGGGGATGTCATTGAGCATCTGCCCCCTAGTGGTCAGTGCGCATCATAGGAACCGGTCATTCCACCGTTCGGTCAATTTGCACATTACCCTTTTATTATATAGGATTGCTAAGGAGTCTAGAAATGACCCCGAATTCAGCAGTTAAGAGGAAAATAGTTAAATCTTTACTACATATGATTTTATGATATTTTGTCAAAGATGCTTCACTGTGAACAAAATGAGAGAGGAGTTAGAACCCTGAAATAGCAAAGTCTAAAAATATCCTTAACCTTAGGAAGGACTCCTAACAGCTCGGGTCTGCAGCGAGACCATCTCCCCTCAGCCCGCATGGTGACTTGTGAAATGCGTTCAGTCTGTGATGTCATTGTAGTTGAGAAATGGGACAGATAGAACTTTTCTCGGGGTGCACTATAGATGTACCTGCCTGGCCTGTAGGAGAGCCGAGGGTACCCAAGGTGAGCGCCCTTCAGAATCCTGGGGTGATCGAATGTATGGAATGAGCTCAGATCTGCGCTCTGCACACACCAAGCACAGAATATTGGAATCTGAAGGTCCTTAGAGTTCATCTGGGCCACCCTTCCTCTCTGAAATAAAATATTCTTAACGTTAGGAAAAAATATATATATGTATGTATTTAATATAAGAGGGGAGACTGTTAACAAAAGAGACTTAACAGATAAAATGTGTGGACCTTGTTAGGATCCTGACTTCTACAGATGATCTGTAAAAAAATCATTTTGAGAAACTTGAATATGGATGGGTATTATTTGGTGTTAAGGAATTAGTGTCCATTTTGTAGGGTGTGATAATGGCAGAGTGGCTCCTTTGGGAGCAGGAAGTCCTTGCCAGTTACAGTGCGTTGTTATTAATGGATGAAATGGGAATTTCTGGGATTTTCTTTAAAAGACTTCGGTAAATAAAGGGAGTGGGCTGGGCTAGCAGAAACGTGATTGGCAAAAATGTTGACAATTGCTGGAATTGGGAAATGAAAGTTTATTATAGTACTAGAGGCCTGGTGCACAGATTCGTGCACCAGTGGGGTCCCTCAGCCTGGCCTGTGCCCTCTCGCAATCTAAGACCCCTCAGGGGATGTCGGAGGCCCGGTGCATGGATTTGGCCGGATCCACGCAGTCCAGGCCAAGGGACCCCACCAGTGCATGAATCCATGCATATAAGATCTTTGGTTAATCTCTCCCCGCCCTCCCCCTTTCTCTCTGAGATTCATCAGTCTGTTCCATGTTTCCATGCCTGTTCGTTGAGCATCTGCCCCCTGGTGGTCAGTGCACATCATAGCACCGGTCGAACGGTCGAAAGATTGAACGGTCGCTTAGGCTTTTATATATAGGCTAGAGGCCTGTTGCGTGAAGAGATTCGTGCAATAGGCCTTCCCTTCCCTTTGCTGCTGGCACTGGTTTGCCTCTGGCACTCGGGACCCAGGCCTTCGCTCTGGCCGGGCTCTGGCCGGAGCCGGCCCTGGAGCCATCAGGCTTCGCTCCGCCGGCCCTGGAGCTGTCAGGCTTCGCTCTGCAGCTTGGAGCCTACGTATGCAAATTAACCGCCATCTTTGTTGGGTTCATTTCCATACTCTCTTGATTGGCTGGTTAGCGTAGCGAAGGTACGGTCAATTTACATGTTTGTCTATTATTAGGTAAGATTCTCTCTACCTTTGTATGTGTTTGAAAAATATCATAATGCAAAGCTTTTACATCTTTTTACCTTGAGTTGTTTCTTTTAAGACTATGGAGTGGACAACATCTACATAAAAGGGTAGAGACTGCAGGCCTACTAGGACACCTCTCTTCTTGGTCTCAATGAAGGGCTCTTTGGGGGTTGACTGGGCCCCTGGCAGTCCCTGATTGCTTCATTCCTGGCCCCAAGGACCCCAGGGAGTTGCCTGGGGGTCGTGGTCACATAAAACAGGTCGGAAATGGTTCCGTGGAGCTAGACTGCCGTGGACTGCCAGGTGAGCTTCTGTGGCCTCCAAACTACACTTGTGCGCCTTTGGTCCCCAGTTGACTGGCTCATCTTCTCCCAGATTCGGGTTGGACACAAATCAGATAGCTTCAGGCTGGAAGCACAGGGAATACATTGCGCATTGAGAAGCGGCTCCTGTGACAATCCATTCATTTCTGTGCCTGTCAAATACAGGCAGACCGAAATGCATGGAGCATAACAGGGTTTAAACTGACGTATTTACATCACCTGTTGGAAGAGGCATGAATACATGTTGAAGTGTATGTTTTAGTAACGACTGTAGGGTTTTAGCTTCTGATGGCAGCCAGTCTCCTGATTTTGGTGCCAGATTTGGCAGCCACTGCAGCGTGGGTGTCTGTGTCAAGCATGGAACTACAGATCCTTGGTCCATTTCCCTCCCTCAGCTCTGCTTCCAGTGTGTTCCCCTGACAGTCACTTGCACTCACTCAGCAGAGTCAGGTGGCAAGAGCACAGGCCTGGGAAACGAGACACATCTAGGTCCTGATTCTGGCTTCCCACTTTTAGGCAGTGACTGAATTCCGCTTTTTCTCATTCGTCCAATGAGGCCAATAGACTGGAAACTAGCACCCAGCTCCCCAGCGTGGGGGTGAAGGGTCAGTGGCACCTGGCAGAGCACAGGCCTTGGTCATGCCCATGTCTTTTCCTTCCACCAAGGAGGACCCTGAGGCTGATTATTCTCAGTCCAGGGCATCCTCGGTGCTCAGTACTCTGAGCTCAAGAAGGGGGCGGCTTTCTCTGGAAAAGCCTGCATTGTCAGCTTACACATGCCTAAGCCCGAGAGGGGCAACAGCTATGGAAACACCTCCACATGCAAACATGAGGAGGCTGTCTGCCATTGCGCCTGGGAACACCCCATTTTCTGTTATTTTTGCTGATTGGAAAGATGGCAGTGATCGATCTAATACAGTAGGTGATCAAACGTCGTGGATTACCCTTTCTTTAATAAAATCGAATGTTTTAAAACCAAATAAACAAGATCGAGTCTAGAAATTTTAAATCCCCGGAACACGTCGCAAAATCACTGGACGTCTCATTCACGGGAAAATCGGTTTCTCAAGCTCACGCATGGGCTTCAGCAACAACCTGTGTGTGCGCAAGTCACACGTCCAGGACGAGGCTGCGTTCAGGACCCTGATGCCAGGGGAGCCCCATCACGCCTTCATGCTGGCCCTTGAGTCAATGGGCCTTGTTCTGTAGACGGCAGTTTATCTGTCTCGGCCTAGAGCAGTGGTTCTCAACCTTCTGGCCCTTTAAATACAGTTCCTCATGTTGTGACCCAACCATAAAATGATTTTCGTTGCTACTTCATAACTGTAATGTTGCTACTGTTATGAATCGTAATGTAAATATCTGATATGCAGGATGGTCTTAGGCGACCCCTGTGAAAGGGTCGTTCGACCGCCAAAGGGGTCGCGACCCACAGGTTGAGAACCGCTGGCCCAGAAGCTGCGCTCCTTGAGGTCCAGGACCTCGGACAGGTCATCTTCGTGTGACCCAGACCCCTATGCAGGCTCTTGAACTTAACAGATGAACTTAACTCAATAAATTACTGCTGCCCAGCCAGTGATTGAGCATTGACCCATGAACCAGGAGGTCATGGTTCGACTCCCCATCAGGGCACATGCCCAGGTTGCGGGCTCGATCCCCGGTGTGGGACGTGCAGGAGGCAGCCGATCAATGATTCTCTCTCATCATTGATGTTCCTCTCTCTCTCTCCCTCTCCCTTCCTCTCTCTGAAATGAATAAAAAACTATTTTTAAATTAATAATAATACATTATTACTATGACCTGTGGCTGAGAGCTGCCCCGCTCTCTACAAGAAAAATAATTGTCACCTTTGGGATCGGACAGGAAGATTTCGGAAAAGAAAGCATGCCCATTTGAATCTCATGCTACACGAGAAAGCTCTCTTCTGATTCTTGGCAAATGTATCACTGCTCTCTTTTCTGTTTCTCATTTTTCTTAATGATATCCAGTGTCCTACAGCTGAATTTTTAGTAACATGTCTATGTGCCTGGGTAGAAAGGTCAAGAAGGTGGAAATCGTGAACAGGAAAAGACAAGAGCAAGAGAGACATTTTATATTTTGTCAACCAACATCTCAGTGTTCACTTCCAGAGCATGAGGTGTACATGGGAAGAATTTTGTTTAAAAAATGAGAAAATGTTGAGCGAATTTCTCAGCTCTACATATGCTGGTATCTGCTGTGTCTCTGCCTGGAACAGCCCCATCCCCACCACCATCACCTTCATCATCACTTGTTCACACACATAGAACACGCACACACATACAACACACACACACACCCTCCTTTTCTACCTAACTTCTCTTTAGCTTTCAAGTCTCCATGCTTCGTCTTTCCAGAACCCCAATTCTGAAATGGGCTCCCCTCTAAGCAGCTCCCCTGGGATCCTACAGCACGAGGCTGACCACACAGTGTTAGTCATCGCCTCACTGGACGAGAGCTCCCTGAGGACAGGGCCCAGGTCTGTCTTTTCCACAGTTCGATCCCTCGTTCCCCGAATGGCACTCGGCACGTTTATGGAACACATGAATTTCGATGAGTCTGTATAAGCCCTTTCTTTGTATGAACCTTTGTTTATCTCTCTGAACAACATTTGTCGAGTCTGGCTGTTCAGGTTGTGTACTGTACTAGGACGTCCAGCAGGGTGGGGAGGAGAGGCAGAAATCAGCCCACCTACCCATCACCAAGCCATTTGCACTGGCCGCGCCCGCCTGGAGGACAAGGTGCCTTTTCCTGATTTGCTCTGTGGCTCCATCTCTGAACAACGAGTAGCGTCTTCAAAGGCAGTGAGGACTTACCCTCGAGTTCCTAGGAGGACGAGGCCTGGGTGCTTCCGTGAAACCGTTTCTGTGGGTCCTTGGCCCACATCAGAGCCAAGACCCTGACCCCATCCACGGCACGGCTCTCCCTCACGCTTCTCTCCTCTGACTTTTGTCTCCCGCAGGGTTTGGGATGACGACTCCCGCGACAGTAGGAGGGAAAATCTTTCTGATCTTCTACGGCCTCATTGGGTGTGCAAGCACCATCTTGTTCTTCAACCTCTTCCTGGAGCGGCTGATCACCGTCATCGCCTACATCATGAAGTCCTGCCAGCAGCAGCAGCTCCGGAGAGAGGGGGCCCTGCCCCGGGAGAGCCCCAAGAACCTCTGCGGTGCGGTGGGCGGCCTGGCGGGCTGGAAGCCCTCCGTGTACTACGTCATGCTGATCCTGTGCCTGGCCTCCCTCCTCATCTCCTGCTGCGCCTCCGCCATGTACACCTGCATCGAGGGCTGGAGCTACTTCGACTCCCTCTACTTCTGCTTCGTGGCGTTCAGCACCATCGGCTTTGGGGACCTGGTCAGCAGCCAGAACGCCATGTACGAGAGCCAGGGCCTCTACCGCTTTGCCAACTTCGCCTTCATCCTCATGGGCGTCTGCTGCATCTACTCCTTGTTCAATGTCATCTCCATCCTCATCAAACAGTCGGTGAACTGGATCCTGAGGAAAATGGGCAGCGGGTGCTGCCGGCAGTGCCAGGGTGGCCTCCCGCGGGCACGCAGAAACGTGATCATGCCAGGCAGCGACCCCTCAGAAACGGGCGGGGTGATGGACAGCGAGGTGGGTGGGCGGCGCCCCTCGGAGGAGATGATCTCCATGAAGGACTTCCTGACCGCCAACAAGGTGTCACTGGCCGCCCTGCAGAAGCAGCTGTCTGAGTCGACCAACGGCTGCCGCCTCCAGACGGGCACGCAGCCTCGGGACAGCGAGTTCTCAGGGGGTGTGGGGGCCTTTGCCATCATGAACAACAGGCTGGCAGAGACCAGTGGGGACAGGTAGGACCCAGGAGGCCGGGAGAGGAGCGTCACCGAGGAGCGTCACCGAGCTCGGCTCTGCCCGTGGCTGGGCTCGTCCTGGGCGGTGCCTCTGGCTCAGCGGTTCTCAACCTGTGAGTCGCGACCCCTTTGGCGGATGAACGACCCTTTCACAGGGGTCGCCTAAGACCATCCTGCATATCAGATATTTACATGACGATTCATAACAGTAGCAACATTACAGTTATGAAGTAGCAACGAAAATCATTTTATGGTGGGGTCACAACATGATGAACTGTATTTAAAGGGCCAGAAGGTTGAGAACCACTGCTCTGGCTTCTTGAAGCCCAGCTTGTTTGGGCTCCAACAAACAGCCGGCTTTCAGGGCCACAGAAGCTGAACCCTCGATGCCTTCCTTATCTTTATTCTTTTCATTTAAATTCAGTCTTTTAAACACAAATCATAGAGCAGCCCAAGACAGTGGGCTGTTTCTTTGCTCCTCCTGCTCCAGGGTTTTAACTATTTGCTGGAGGGGGAGGGAGGGTAAGCCTTGATTTCCTGCTGCTCTGACCTTCCTGTGGAAATGAAACCCCTCCAGATCCTGATCTCCTCCTGGAACCCCGCATGGCCTCGTTCACCTCCTCCCTCCCCGGCCCCTCAGCGCGAGCAGGGGAAGCGTGAGGCAGGTCTGGGCTCCGGCTGCCTTCGGAGCAGGTTGCTCTGCGGTGCCACGGCCAAGGCCACCATCTGTTTTAGTCTTTACCTGGTTCCCTGCTTTTTGCTTTTCCTTTTTTTTTAAGATCTTAATGTTTGGGACCTCCATGTGCTAAGAACATGAAATGCAGCAGCGAAGAGGTGGGGGAGCCTCAGCTTTGAGACTAAAGAATACGGTTGGACATTCTCCCTGTCAGCGGGCACAGGGACGACTTCGTTCTTACCAGGCCTGGGGGCCCATGGCGGAGATCATGCCTGACTATGTGTTAGAACTGGAAACTCAATAAACCCTCGTTTTATTAACTAAGAGTCCGTGGCTGCTCCTTGTGGACAGGGGGAGTGAGGTGTCTAACGAAACAGGCGGTTACTGCACTCAGAGGCAAAGGAAGCAGGAAATGAACCTTTGGAGATATGAGCCTCATCTCGGATTCATGGCTGGAGAAACATTCTAGGCCAGAAAATAAAATGTGGCTTTCCTTGTGGAATCTGTTTCAGTTCTGCCTTCTGGGATTGTAACAAGCCCGGTTGCATAACCTCCCAAGTAGTTAACATGTCCGCGCTAGGAACAAGGGCTATTCATCTTCACGTATGCAGGAGGGAACGTTTTAGGGATGAGAGCACAGTTAGAAAGAGATAGCTGTTGTTTTTATACGATAAGAATGGTGCACACACAGTTCTTCCAGAAATGATGAGGAAAGGACGGGTGCGATAAAGAAGATAGAAGGGCCCTGGCCGGGAGCTCAGTGGTTAGAGCATCGGCCTGCACACTGAATGCTCTCGGGTTCAATTCCCGGTCAAGGGCACATTGTACCTCGGTTGCAGGCTCCATCCCCAGCCCTAGTCAGGGCGCATGCAGGAGACAACCAATTGGTTTGTCTCGCATCAATGTTTCCCTCTCTCTCCCCCTCACCCCCCTTTCCACTCCATCCAAAAGCAATGGGGAGAAATCCACAGAAGAAGATAAAGGGGAAAACCGACGCCTAATGAGACTGAAATGTTGAGCAGAAGCCATCAGAGATGGACCATCACATCCAACCGCCTTGTTTTTTTACACAAGGAAACGGGCACGAAGGGGCTGCTCCTTGTCTGAGCTCTCGGGCGGATGGGGTACAGCGAGGGGAGCCCAGGTCTCCATATGGGGAAGTCGGGCTCTTCCTCCAGGCTCCACACCTCGTGGAGCCCTCCTGCAACGGCGCCCTCTTCAGGCCGAGTTGCCTTTTCTTCCAGCGGCAAACCCAACTATTCTCTTCACAAGGTCAGACGTGCCCAGCAGCAGACGTGTGTTAAGCAGCAGCCCCGGGCTTTGACTGTGGGGCTCTGCAGCTCCGATGTCAGAGTTCTTCATCCCTGGGAGAAACACCTTTTCATGCAGAAGCATTCCAGGGGGTAAACATAGGAGGAGCCAGGGAAATAGCTTCCATCAGAACGTCAAGGTAGCCGTTGCTGCCCGAGAGATCCACGGTGGGCGCTGACATTAGTGATGTTCACATTTAAGCTGAGTCAGGATACGTGAAGTCTCAGTGGATCGCCACCAAAACATCTAGTAATTACAAAGGGGAAAATAGCAACTTCCCCGTGTAGAATTCTGGCGGACACCACATTAACCAAGTGCGTTAACATCACCCGCCGCTCAGGCCGATGTCACGCATCACCGGAAGCGGTGCCCTGAGCAGGGCACAGCACCTCTGTGACATCCTTCCCAGGAACAGATAACTTAGTCCAGCGGTTCTCAACCTGTGGGTCGCGACCCCTTTGGCCAGGGGTCCTCAAACTTTTTAAACAGGGGGCCAGTTCACTGTCCCTCAGACCGTTGGAGGGCCGGACTATAGTTTAAAAAAAAACTATGAACAAATTCCTATGCACACTGCACATATCTTATTTTGAAGTAAAAAAACAAAATGGGAACAAATACAATATTTGTATTTGCATGTGGCCCGCGGGCTGTAGTTTGAGGACCCCTGCCTTTGGCAGTCGAACAACCCTTTCACAGGGGTCGCCTAAGACCATCCTGCATATCAGATATTTACATGATGATTCATAACAGTAGCAACATTACAGTTATGAAGTAGCAACGAAAATAATTTTATGGTTGGGTCACAACATGAGGAACTGTATTTAAAGGGCCAGAAGGTTGAGAACCACTGACTTAGTCTAATCACGAGAAAACCACAGACAATGTGAGAGGCGTCCTCCCAGATAGAGCTGTCAAGCTAATGAGAGACAGGAAGACGGGTGTGCTGTCTCAGGTGGGAAGAGACCGAGGAGGCGTGATGACGAAATCCAACATGGGAGCCTGGACTGGACTGGATCTTGACGCATGAAAAGGACGTTAGTGGGAAAGCGGGGTGAACCCCAACAACTTGTAGTCTAGTTGGTCATCATCTTTACTAAGGTTGCATTCTTGGTTTTGATGGTTGCTCTGTGGTTATGGAAGGTGTTAACATGCGCCGAAGTGGGGTAGAGGTATATGGGAGCTCTCTGTCCGACTTTTGCAATTCACATCCAAAGTTCTCTCAGAGTGAAACGTTAAAAAAAATCGAAACTTTCTCAGGATGGCACACAGCCAGTCACACCTCGATTTGGGCCGGGAGCTGAGCACACACAGGGGACTCCAATTCGGATCTCACATCCCACACGAGAAGTGGCCAGGGATCTCCAGCAGCCGCCCTGAGAGTGTGGTCCAGCCCAGCAGCAGCCCCTGGGAACGTGTTGGAAGTGCAGATTCTCAGCGCTCCAACCCGACGGAAGGAATCGGAGGCACGAAGGGCAGGGCCTGGCGATCTGCATCTTAACGCGTCCTCTGGGTGATTTTTTCCAGGAAAGAATGTCCTGAGCGTGAGCTGGAAAGGACAGGAGAGAGGCCCTCCCCTGGAGCCCAGCTCATGTCCCCACCGCGTTCTGCCGCTGTGACCGGATCCCAGTGCCTCCCAGACTGAATCTCTGGTCTGCATCTCAGAGCCATTGCTGGTGAACTTGACTTGCCCAGACGCCAAAACATCTACTGTGGAAACAGCTCTCACGGAAGAATTAGGAAGAATTAGGAGGAATCAGACGAGGGTAATGTGTTGGCATCCTGGATTCAGGCAGAGGTGGTGCTGTGTTATTTGAAAGGGACTTTTTAAAAATTATCACCTCATGATGGTCCTTGGGTAGAAGATTTCTGTGTCACCGTAGGCCGTTGGCTAATTGAATGTTTAGTCTTCCCAGCAGCAGCCTTGGAATTGGAGTCAATGCAGAATCACCTGCCAGAGGCACCGCGCATCCAACATCCTCAAACCCCGAGAGGCACCTCAGGACATTTTTTTTAAAGGCCTTTCCCTAGACCTTCTCAATCAGAATCTATCTAGCTGTCTGTCTGTTTATCTATCTATCCAACTCCTATTGGTCTGTTTCTCTAGAGCACCCTGACTAATACACGTTCCCACTTCACTTTCTCATTCCCTCCTGGATTACTGGAGAACATAAACGGTATTCTCACTGTTTATGAAGAACCATCCCTCCCTTTTTATATATATACTAGAGGCCCGGTGCACAAAATTTGTGCACAAGCCGGGGGGGGGGGGTCCTTCAGCCCGGCCTGCACCCTCTCCAATCCGGGACCCCTTGGTGGACATCCCCCTCACAATCCAGGACCACTGGCCCTAACCACTCATCTGCCTGTCTGCCTGATGCCCCTAACCGCCTTTGCCTGCCAGCCTGATTGCCCCCTAACTGCTCCTCTGTAGGCCTGATCACCCTCTAACTGCCCTCCCCTGCTGGCCTGATCGCCCCTAACTGCCTCTGCCTTGGCCCCCATCACTCTGGCTTTGTCCGGAAGGATGTATGGAAGATGTCCGGTCTAATTAGCATATTAACCTTTTATTAGTATAGATTTTTATTGATTTCAGAGAGGAAGGGAGAGGGAAAGAGAGAGATAGAAACATCAATGATGAGAAAGAATAACTGATTAGCTGCTTCCTACATGCCCCCAACTGGGAATCAAGCCCGCAACCCAGTCATGTGCCCTGACCAGGAATCGAACATGACCTCCTGGTTCATAGGTCGATGCTCAACCACTGAGCCACGCCAGCCGGGCCCTTTTGAATTATACACCTTCAAAGAGAAGAGGCCTGTTACTGAATGTAACATGTCTAATTGTCTTCACCAAGGAGAATTCTTCAAAATGATTGCCAATAAGGATACCATTATATGTTTTGAAGTCAAAGAACTTTCGAGAACATGGAGTTACTGGTGGTGGGAATATCCAGTTACAACTGTCTGGTTTTGATCCAAAACATTTCTTCTTTCCTATGCTAATTTTTTCTCAGATTAGAGATGGGG